GGAACAGTCCCTATTCTGCTCTGTGTCAGTGTGTATCAGGGATCCTTAGGACAGGTGTCAATCATATCTGCCAAGTGACCCTATGTAGGGGGACCAGTCTCTATTCTGCTCTGTGTCCGTGTGCATCAGGGGCTCTGAGGACAGGTGTCAATCCATATGTCAGGTGTCAATATGTCATATGTCAGGTGTCAATCCATATTGATTGTGATTTAGGAATGTTAGGTGATTTCTGCCCTTTATGGATTAAAACCAGACTCTGTATCAACTGTGTAATTTTCCATGGAGTTTTGCCATGGATCCCCCTCCGGCATGCCACAGTCCAGGTGTTAGTCCCCTTGAAACAACTTTTCCATCCCTATTGTGGCCAGAAAGAGTCCCTGTGTGTTTTAAAATTCGCCTCCCCATTGAAGTCAATGGCATTTCGGGCGGTTCGCCGGTTCGCGAACATTTGCGGAAGTTCGCGTTATCACTACTCCTCAGATGTAACAGGGCTGCATGGGAGGAGAAGAAAGGAGGGGGAACAGAGCGGGAGTATCTCTGACTCCTAACAGCCTCAGCCGACCGCCTCCCGTGGAGCCACGCTTTTGCAGGTAGGAAACATGAGAGTAGCTTAAAATGTGTATAATGCCCATTCTATCTTTACTACTGAGACAGTCAGGAGGCTCTGTGCTTAACGCCAGTCACTAGAAACTGAGCTGTGTATGTACTCTACTTTTTCATTCAATTACATGTATCCTAAAAGCTCATTTATTGCAAATATCGGTTACTCAAATGCAGGAAAAATGATAATGAAATGGGCAATTGTTTTAATAGCATATTAAAGCGAAAAATGCCATGATATTTGTTAGTAAAAATCTTCTAAAAAGTTTATTTCAGCCACTTTGTATGATTTGGGGGCGTTTTGATTATTCAAAACAAATAAGAATAAATGTAAACAATACTTCCTTAATTTTTTTATGGAACAAGCAGCATTAAACCTTGACATTGAAGCACTTGTATATGAACAGTTTATAAAACTCGTTCCATTAATCCCAAATTCTGTCTTACTTCAGTATTTAAAAGAAACAAGTGGAACTGTTAGAAAAAAATATTATTTTTTAAAGTGTTTTTGTCCATATTGGCTTGCAAAATGGTTACATTAAATAATTCCTGTTCTTTTAAAAAATGTGTACACTTTGCATGCATGTCTGTATGTATGTCTGTATCTATCTGTGTAATACACAAAAACTCAAAATCAAGCAGTCTCACCTATCCACTAACTGCAACTTCAATGTTGAAAAACTAATAAAATCTGACAACATTGAAGTTGCTGTGTAGTGGATAGGTGAGTGCGCTGGATCTTGAGTTTTTAGTGTATTGTATAAATTGGCCCCCAGCAGCACCCCATTTATGCATGTTTAGGCAGACTGCCCCCTGGTTTTATATATATATATAAAAGTGAGTGCACTTCAACAAGATATTGCATATACCAAGGTCGGAGATTGCACCCAGGCAACAACAAGACTGGGAGCAGTGACTACGGGACACGTGGAAATGTGTATGTGTATATATATATATTTAGGAGTCTAGCCAACTCCTTGATTTTGCATCCCTCCCTGTCACAGGTGCCTCATACTTAGCTTTGTACTGCAGAGAGCCCCAAATGGATTTTTTTCCCCAAGTAAGTATCTCATGAAGCAGACATTAGGCTGTTAGAGTAGAGTGGCAGGCTTATGCAATGTATGGTCATATAATGTAACTAAACCCCCATATTTTTTTTGCCTCGATTAGGTGTTTAAAAAACAAAACAAAAAACTAATCAAATCTGTCAACATTGAAGTTGCTGTTTAGTGGATAGGTAAGTGCGCTGGATTTTGAGTTCTTGTGAATTGTATAAATTGGCCCTCAGCAGCACCCCATTTATGCATGTTCAGGTGAGTGCAGCCTGTCCCCTGGTTTCTCATGTATCTATCTGTGTGTCTGCATGTGTCTTTATGCGTGTCTGTGTTTCTAAGTGTAAACCTGTGTATATGTTGTTCTTTATCTGTGTGTCAGCATTTGTATGAGTGTCTTTGTGTGTATTTGTGTATCGCATGTTTGTCATTGTGTGTGTCTGTGTATCTGCACATATATTAGTGTGTGCGTGTGTTAATGTGTGTGTCTATTTGTGCCAGTGTGTGTATCTGTGAGTCTGTGTATCTGCATGTGTGTCTGTGTGTGTATCTGTTTGTCTGTTTATCCGTGTGTGTGTGTCACTGTTTATTTGCATATATCTCAGTATTCAAACTCCAACATTAGACACAAATACACTCCTGTATTCAAACATCAACCTACATACAAACATGCCTCTACAGTCAAAGGCAAACACTACAAACAACTAAACAACTGCTTTCAAATGGCAACATGATATAAAAACACACAACACTACACACAAATACACCCCTACATTCAAACACACATATTACATGCAAAAACATGTTTACATTTAAACATGCAATCAATGCTAAGTACAACCCAGCAAGAATGGGCAAATGGTAGATCCCCAGCTTGCAAAGCATTGTGGGAGTTGTACAACAGAAGGGGTTCTACTTTTTTCCCCTATCCTTCCTATAGTGGGACCCAAAAACTATTCTTGCACCAGGGCCTTTTCTACTTTAGTTCCATTACTGACTAGAATGTTATATTAATATATAATGGCATCCTTGCAGTGTGTGATCTATAATGACTAGTTAGATCACAATTCTAATTGTCATTTAAAGGTACAACTTATATTAATTTAAAATGGAAAGATCAATGACTTTTCATTGAATTTTTGTATCATTGTGTACCTGGGTTATAACCATAAACTGCAACATACATGGTTGCCAGTACATTTTTCAGCATTCTTAATGGTTTTGTTTGATTAGCTACTATAATGAAGCCACCTTTACTATTCAAAGCTCTTACTAAGTATTTTATTTGGATAGGATTCTGCTTGTTCATCCACTTTCTTAACGTTTAGATCTGAGCAATGCATTATTATTATTTTTATTTTTATTTATTTTAGAAGTTCAAGCTGATACTGTCACATTTTATATGACTTAATTGATTGAGAAGCTCTTTAGATGGTTTCCAATAGTTTTGTTTCTACTTAACAAACATCGGTTAAAATAATTACTCAGACAAATCTTTTAGTTCCTTTCTGGCGCTGACTTTATTGTACCTCTTGTGATTATACATTTTACTCAAATCAACACAACAGCAATACGAGCAATTATACGAGCGATTATTAGACTTTGAGATTTGTTTTGGACCAAACTACAATTTAATCTAATTCGGGCGAATAATTTGATCAGACGAATTTCCGACTTCTGAACTACCACATTCTAGAATCTCATGGTAACTGACTTACCCGAGTCCAAACATGCTCATTTTAATTTGTGATTCAAAGTGCCGTTCCTGGCACCAGAAAAAAGGATGATGAAATGGAAAAGAACAGAATTCTGTCGTCATCGACAGAGCTACTAAAACAGTCAAAGCTCTGTTACAGAGTTCCTCTGTGGGTTCTGCACACATCCTTCATCTGGCTGTAAAAGGTGCAATTTAAGAAGGTAATAGAATGGTTCCTTCCATAGTTGAGCATTGGCACTCTGATCCAATAACATGCCATTTTGGAGGGACAGACTTATTAACAAGGTCCATGATTTGCAGTGAAAGAGAGGCATGCTGGTTGAGGAAAATGTGTGCATTGAACCCACCATGTTGCCAGCTCCCAGCCAAAAACTTAACTGCTCCACTCTGCTGTCTTGGGGCAAACCCCAACACAGCAGAGTGGAGCAGTTAATTTTTAGCTGTGTGCTGTAGGAGTTTTAGTGGGAGCAAGCAATAGACCGAAAGGAAAGTAGTGCCTCAGAAATATTCAGAGCTTACCTGTCTGAATCTATTTTACCCCATACTGAGGAACGAAACTAAGAGCTACTGGGATGAACTGCTCTATGTCTACTTGCTTATCAGCAATTATTATGTGAACCAACCACTGTCCAAAGTGACCGAATGTTTTCTTTATCTGTTAATATTCTGAATCCCCAATGCTCACAAATGTCCCGCAACTTAAATAAGCAAGTAACCTTCAAGTTCAAGCTCCCCAACTTGTGTTACCCTGCTCTTCAGTTTAATCCTTGACATAATCATCCACTAGCTGAGATCCAACTGGCCACCTTCCTTTCTTGCAAAGGTTATATCTAAAATAAATTAAAATTAGATTACTGCTGCATCTGCTGCTGTTCCCCTTTTTTCAAATGTCTTTCATTGTTGTGGTTTTGCCCAGCCTGGCTGACTCTTACAGTACCTGCTACCTCCGCAGACACAGTTGGCATACGCTGGATGTGTGGGAGAGCTTTATTCTTGTTAGGATGGAAGGGGTGAGTGGGTAGTCAATTATTCACTGAGGGGGGCTGGGCCGGACCGCCGAGCTGGACGGTCGCAAGACAGACCAGCTCCAGCAAAAACTAAACCATTCAGCCACAAAACTACAACTTTTACCAAAAATACCGGCCAGCAACGGCGGCCCTCGACGGGCAGAGTGCACTGAACCCAGGGTGAGGCTTGCTCGACGAGTATTAGTCCCCTGGTGCCCCGCTATCCTGCTGAACAGTGTCCAGCCTGGGGCTTAAACCCTCGAGGAACCGGCTCCGTTCCCCCCCCTCTGGACCGGCGGGGGTGATCCCGGTCCTCACCCTGAAGTCCCGACCACTACGACTGAGACTAAGGCCTAGCAGCACTACCAGTTGCAGACTCTAAGATGGCAGAGACCGCGCGTCTAACCCCAAGATCTCAGTGCATGAAAGATGCCCACCCCACAAACGCAGCTACCAACGCGATTCAGCGGCACCAAATGATCAGACACCCACAAAGTCCAGCCGTACATACGCATCCTGGCACCCTAACGGAACACCTACCTCGGGTGACTCTTCAAGCTCCTGGCTCCGGTAAGGGGATGGAACAGCAACTAGCGGCGGGAAAAGGGGCACAGCAAGCCAAGCCAGTGCCTGCCTGAACAGCAGGGACCATCAGCCCCCACTCCGCACCACGCCACCCTCCAGACACACTGGGGTCCAGGTCCAGCGAGCCGGATTCCGCACATCACTCCCGGTATGTCGTGCAGCACCTTTCAACTAGCCCTGCAGCAGCTGCAACACAGGCAGACCACCGGACAACAGCGTGAACAAGCTGAATCCACAGAGGGCATGAATTCACCAATCACAAGGGGACTCTCTAAATATGACCTTAATAGTCTTCACCTGTCTCAGTATAACTATGGCAATGTCGAAATATTACCCGTTTTAATGTTCTAGCCTTACTATTTGCATTCATATGTAGCTATAGGGATCTAAGTGGTGATGATATATCTCTCATATTTCAGCATGTAACTTTATCTTGCACCTAATTTACCAAAAAATGTGCAATGCCTAGCAACTACCCTATTTGTTATACAAGCCAAGCAGCTCAAGGAATGCCTTTGGGTTACCTGGAGCCAGTTTGTAATTTTTTTTTCACCTGCACAGCAAAAATAAAGATTTAAAAAAAAAAATTAAAAAATTATTCACTGAGGTTTTTCTTTTATTTTTGGATAAATCCTCCTTTTCAGCTTATAATTACTCCTGCTCCCCAAGTTCTCTCACTTTCTTTTTTTTTAATCCAGGTGTATAATAATATAATTTTGTCAACTCAGAATTTATCTGGCTCCGAGATAAATATAACCACGTTTAAATCCTTATATAGTACTATATCTATTTCCTAATATGGTGATGCTTGTGATTGTAAATGGAAAACAAACATTTATTTCTTAATTTGATGTTCAGAAAACCACTTCCTTTATGAATATATTTTCTGTTAACTATACTCCATTACTTAAGATAAATCATAAAGATTTTATAATGTGGACTAAATATATAATGTTTTTTTGTTTAGTAGGGTTTTCTCACTTAAAATGAATAAATTATCAAAATGACTTTATGTCCTACTATTCCTGTAGCTTTAGTTTGTAAAATTAATTTCTGGTTGACTAACCTCTATTTTTAAGTTTATTTAGCAAAGGAAGTGCCCAGACACTCCAAAGCAATCTTGTATCTTCCTAAAGCAATCTGGAGGTAAATCAATGCCTAATCTCATTATTTATTAAAGTGCAGCACAATGGGCTTAAATAACATTATCGGATAAAGGAAGATCCAGATGGGTAAAAGATAGGTTGTCAAGGGTAGATCTACACAGATGCGCATAGATATTGCCGACAAACCCTATATTCATATACTTTATAGTTATCGTGAAAATTCAGGTATAATTTAACTTCAAATGATTTACCAATTATTTATTTTCATTGGAAGTCCTCATGTTTATGTTTGATAATCTTGAAGAAGACATTTTTGTGATGGTTAGCTCATGTTATTTCAGTAGGATCATTATGTTCCCCCATCAGAACTATTCTATTACATACCAATAAGGGACTCTCTATTCAATTACTTACACCAACAATGAATAGGTGCACCAATATATGATGAAAAAATATGCACTGTAGATATTTAATGTATGGGCCAAATTTCCTCTGTTCATGCAACTCTATTATATCTGAAAGAGATAAAAAAAAAAAAAAAAAAAACCTGCTTCTACCAGGTCCTTGGGAATGGGTTTTCCTCATGAATAGTATATGTAACATTTAAGAACTCTTTCAAAACATCATATATGTTAGAGAAATGCATATAAGCCCCTCCGTGTGGAATTTAGGCTCACGTAGACCACAGCACATCTGTCCATCAAAATTAGGAATATGTGCACTCACATGCACATCTGTTGGACATGTCTAGTGATGCAAACTGTGTGGTCAAAATTTGTCAACGTAGTAATTTTTGTTCTGGGCACATTTCTTATACGATAATGTTGGACCATATTACATAACAGTTCATGCACAATGAATGACATAATATACCATGATTTCTCCTTTAATTGAATACATCAAATTTCCAGAGTGGCTAGTCCAATCAAAGGAAGTGGTATATATGGAAAAGCCGACTTGATAATATGGAGGATTATATGAAGATATGAGATACATGATAGCAAATGTACCTAAACACCCCATACACATTGCCGTATGAAAATACGCATGTTCTGTTAAGTATTTTCTGGAAATATAAAAATAAAACTATAAATTACATATATATATATATATACAAAACACAAGATCCAGCGCACTCACCTATCCACTAAACAGCAACTTCAATGTTGAAAGATTTTATTAGTTTTTTTTTTTTAAAACACCTAATCTAGGCAAAAATAATGGGGATACATTGACGTTGTGGCAGGCTTATGCAATGTATGATCATATAATGTAACTAAACCCCCATTATTTTTGCCTAGATTAGGTGTTTTTAAAAAAACTAATAAAATCTTTCAACATTGAAGTTGCTGTTTAGTGGATAGGTGAGTGCGCTGGATCTTGTGTTTTGTATTATTTGGCCCCCAGCAGCACCCCCATTTATGCATGTTCAGGTGAGTGCAGCCAACCCCCCCTTGTTTCATATATATATATATATATATATATATATATATATATATATATATATATATATATGAAATGATAGCACTCCAAGGACTTTTAGGAAATTGAAAAAAAAAACAACTTAGCTTTTATTCAGGTTGTTGCCAGTAAAAAGATCTTTTTACTGGCAACAACCTGAATAAAAGCTAAGTTTTATTTTTTTTCAATTTTCTAAAAGTCCTTGCAGTGCTATCATTTCTTATATGCATATATTATTGCAGACTAGCATCGGGCATTATTGTGTATACTAACTGGAGTGCAAGTGTGTGTGTATATATATATATATATATATATATATATCAGGGCTCGACAAATCCAAGCCTCCAGGTCGCCACTAAGAATTTAGTCCTGGCACCTTGAAATTGTCAGCCCATCCATCCCCTATGCGCGCCGGGTGACAGTGAAGGGAACTGTAACTACTTCCTCCCGGCGCTGAGACCTTGCAGATTAAGATGTCTCTGGTTGCAGAGCTGCCAGCCCACCCGCCCATCCCGCAGACCTACAGAGCCGCCCTCACACCCACCCATTCAGCAGAGGTGCCTGTGGACTACCCATTTGGTAGAGCCGCCCGCACGCCCGTCCATTCGACAGAGTAGTGCATTCCCCTGCGCTAGTTCAGCGCCGGGAGATCAGTTCCCTTCACTTCACTTCCGGCACACTGGGATACAGAGACAGGAGGATGGGAGTCTGGGTCAGCAGCAGCCCACTCCCATCAGCCGCATCCAGCCCCACTGGACCCCAGGAAAACCACCCTCCTGCGCCCACGTGCATAGGTAAGAGGAGGGTGGTAATATATATATATTTTTATTCTGTGTGTGTGTATATCTGTCATGTGGGTATGTCCGTATGTGTATTTGTCTGTGAACCTGTGTGTGTGTTTCAAATAATAAAAAAAGATACTCTGTGAATGTGTAAGAGAATGTGTCTGTCAGTGTGTCTGTGTATCTGTCTGTCAGTGAATGTATATTTTTAGGTCACCAGCTCCCCTCCGATCACATGGGAATGGTGTTTTTAGTTACTTTTTTCCCAACTACGTGCCCGTCTCGCCATGACTGTCATACCTCTAAAGCTGAGATTATCAATCCAATGCTTTTTCATAGGAATGCACTGGGAAGCTATTAAGCAGGCACGGCAAAACACTGCACCAAACAGCATCTGCTCGTAGAGATGCATTAAATCTATATAGGGAATGTACAGCACCTCCATGCAGAGCAAGGAGTTGCTGAATGAAGATAGGAGACTCTTTAGTGTCTAGATAGTAGAAACTTTAGTAACTTTAGTTACCAGTTAGTTTTTTTTCAAAAACAAAAATACAATTCTTAACACAACAGGCTATAGACACCAGACCCATTCCATTAAGCTACAGGGGTTCTGGTGACTATATTGTTATTTTAAGAATTATATTTTTGTCTTTGAAAAAAACTAGCTCCTAACTTTTTTAGCTGGCTCTTAGATTTAAAACAAATTTGTCAAGCCCTGCTATATATATACACAAATCCCCTGCACTGACGTATAAAGTATACCGCTGCCGGGCGCAAAACCAAGGCTCCAATAGATAGAGAATCCAGTAAGGGAGGCTGCTCTCCGGACTTAAAACTTAAATTTATTATGACAGGTTAAAAATGATGACCAACGTTTCGGTCCCCACTCGGACCTTCCTCAGGGTCAAGCACAACAAGACAACAAAATACAATGCAAGCAATATATGGGGACATTTTTTTTTTTTTAAAGTGAGCAGCCACTGACATATATTTCCCAGGTAAATAACGCACACACACCTGGCCATCCAGCTGATCTATAAGAAAACAAGATTCATCAGACCAGGCAATTGGTGTATCCAAACCTTCCTCCATTGCTCCATGGTCTAGTTCTAATGCTCACATCTCCATTTAATGCACTTTTGTCAGTGATGATGTGTTATCATGGGCACTCTGACCAGTCTGCAACTACACATGCACTGTGTGATTTGATACATTTCTATCATGGCCAGCATTATATTTTTTGTAAATTTGAGCTACAGTAGTTCTTCTGTGTGATCGGACCAGACGGGCTAGCTTTCGCTTCCCATGTGCATCAGCGAGCTTCCGGTAACCATAACCCTGATGCAGGTTCGACAGTTGTTCTTCCTTACACCACTTTTGGTCCATACTAACTACTGCATATTGGGAACACCACCCAATACATGATGTTTTGGAGATGATTTGACCCAGTCTTCTAGCCATCACTATTTGGTCATTGTCAAAATCACTGAGATATTTTTGGTTACCCATTTTTCCTGCTTCCAGCATATGAAATTGAAGAACTGACTGTATTGTTCAAGTGCTGCCTGATATAATCAATGATATTCACTTCATCTGTCTATGATTTTAATGCTGTTGCTGATCAGTTTCTATATATATAGATAGAAAAAATAATATATGTATATTTTTCCACACAACATTTTCCTACCATTGTAAGAGACATAGATAATTATATATAGCATTTTAGAAGGTTTTTTTAGTTTTGTTTTTTTTAGTGAATAGTATTTTATTGGATTTCAACAAATAAAATAAAATAAAACAATATGAGACACGCAGGTCCCCAGTGTGATGAGCATTTTTGGTCACCCAGAACCTGAGGGGTTCAGTAAAGAGTAAAATATAACACACAGGTCGCATATCATAAACATGAGTCTAGCAATTAGACTGACAAACTGTGTGTCTGCTTTCCATCTCCCGCACAATATTCGCTTGTAGTGTTATCTCCAGTCAACCATCTTCCAAT